GTTTGAATACTTTACACTTCCCATCGAGGAAAATAGCTGGAAAATAGCGTTAATTTTGAGACTTTATAGAGTGGACCAAAAACAAAGGCTTGTTTTGCCTTAGAAAACATGCAAACTGAACCAGAAAGAACCGGCCTGCCCCTTTGGATTGGGGGTCCGTTGGGTTCTTTGGTAGCCTGCAATACCCGATACCTGTCTATGTCTCTGAAAGTGGGGGGTCGTTAGAGGGAATGTTTGGCCTGGCTGAACAGGCTAGATGTTCAGTTCCCCTATAAGGGGATGAGGGTTGCGATGATAGCAGGAAGGAATCAACTCTATTGCTGCATTGTAGGTTTTTGAAAGCTGAAACCTGAGTCCACCCGCACTGTTTAAGATTGTTTTTTTCATATAGAAAACAACAATACTTTCAAACTTAATGAGATGCTTTTGTTTTAAAGTCCACAGTATAAAGGAATGATTCATCTACATTATTAAAAGCCCTAAATTACCATTGAAGCTATGCAATGAGGAGTATGATCTGTTGAAATTTCCAAATTACTGTATATATGCTAAAAAAAGCTTGAAATGTTAAATTTTCAAGGAAGATACAGATTAAAACCTTGTCATTTTTATGTGAATAACATCTTCAGGAGAACAGTGGCTTATATTCAAGAAAGAATTCAAAATACCATGTTTTCTTTTAGTCCTGTGTGGTGTGGTATAACTATACAAGTATATGAAAAGGAAGTGATCCTTTTAGAAAGTAAGGTTAGAATAATTAGCAGCTGATTATATAGGTGCGTAAAAAAATCAGAAACCTCCACCTCTCTAACTTTAGGTTAGAGAATAAAGTTGACGGTTCACATTATCATTTAGTATAGATTAATTTAAAGAAGGACCTTCTATTTGACCCCTTTTAATCCTCTGGGACTATTGATGGAAGGGAAACCATCACTGGTTCAGAAAGCTCTGCTAAAACATGAACTGTAGCGTCATGACCGTAGGAGAGCAAAGGATTAGCTTTGCTGTCGCTTCTAAAAGTTTTAACACATTTCCTCATCTTCTGTCAGGGAAATAAACATGTTTTGGGGTGAATATGAAATATAAATATATTCCAGTCAAAAACATAATTTATGCAGAAACAAAGCCAACCCTTTGAAAAATTTTCTCCTTTTTTCCAGATTCATGCTTATGCAGGATGGATAATTTCTGGTTCTTTCATCTCATTTCTTCTGCTGATTGACTGTAAAACAGGCAAGTTGCAGACTTGTTCAGTGATCCACATGTAAATAATTGAACTATATGTAGAAAAATAGATTTAAAACAGTACTCTGTTTTATATACAGCTATGGCTTTACCATGATGGCATGCAGGAACAACTAAGACAGGCCTGAAAGTTGAACTACCTGAGTCATTTTCTCTATTCCTCTTGTGAGACTATAGGGAGGAAAGGAAATTATTCAGATCTATGCACTACAACTCAGAGCTTCATTCACTTCAGTTAAATGGTCTTTTAAAGACATTCCAGTTCTTTACATATATACATTTATGACATGTCTGTTATTCACAGTGTAAGAGCGATGAAGGATCAGACAGATCTGCAAGATAAAGGAAGCAGGAGGGGTTTGCTGCAGTGAATACAAAGTGGGAGCAGAAATGATGGGGAACACAGAAAAAAAGAAAAAAACAAAAAGCAAAGTGCACTGAGGGACATTAGATGCTGAAGATAGATGGAGTCTGTGGGTGAACCAGTGGCCGTACATTTGCATTGCACATGAGTCTGGATCTGAAAAGGGTCGATTAACATCCCCACGACTTCCAGCTGCTGTTCCCACTGCAGCGCTTCGTCCATCACTGTCACCAGGACAGTGTAGCTGATAGTTTCCTCTTCTGTTAAACTGATGTTTCCAGATATCAAACATTGCACGGCTCCATATCTCTAACATAAATAGCCGCTAGACTGTAGAGAACTCCATGTGATCCAACACAATCTGAAACACTGAAACTGAGAGTTAAACATCCCTGTATGTCAGATGCAAAACAACAGACCGGTTTGTGATTTTAATGATCGAAGATGACTTTTCCCTGACGCAAAGCTTTGTAAATTTAAATAAAACTTATGAATTTCTAAATGTAGTTATAAGAAAGTGTCAGAATGTCATTATAGTTTCCAGAGTGAGGGAAGTAAAGGTTGGCTTGGAGAATAAAAACGCAGATATGCCTCTCAGTAGGGGGCATGCATTGATCCTTCTTTGAGGACTGTGCTGCAGGGGACCTTCTCTTAAAGGGATGCTGAGTGCCCAAACTAAGCATCATCAAAAATATAAAGAAAAATAGACATAAACCAGCAAGAAGGAGGAAAAAAAACAATATATCTGGCAAAACTGACATTTCAGCATAAACTACATCTCTACTTCTAAGTCCGTTGGATCTCTTTTAAACACAGATTTTGATTTTACAGTCCTATAGAGAGTTATTTCAGAAATGTTTCCTCCTTGAAATTCTTATAGTCATCGCTTCTTATTTGCATCATAAACGTGCTCTGCTGTTCCCCTTGAATCTGTTCTAACAGCTTTGATTATTATATTGGTTTCCAAAAAGCAGTGTCTTTATTAAATGCAGTTAAAATCTCTGCTGAAATTTCTATATGAGAGCTTTGTATTAATTTACCAGTAGCTGACAAAAATCTAACTGATCTGTCTATGCAAACATATAATAAGGTTAAAAAACAACAAACCTGGTCTTTGGCTTTGTTGATGAAAACATTTCATCCATCATCCAAAGAGCTTTCTCAGTTCAAAGCTAGTAGGGAAGACGCCTGAGACTTTTAGGCTTGTTTTGGATTTAAATCCCATGCAGCTCAAACTCCCCAAAGAGCAGAGTTAGTGCCCGCTTTGAGCAGCACTAATGGTGGCTGTGAGGTGCTTGGTTTGAATTTTACTGAACATCAAGCTTAATGTTTAAATGTTTCTTCCTCTATTTCTTTTTTTCTTGTCCTTTCTCAAGAAATAACTGGCATTTGACCCCCAGAGGAGAGTCCCTTATCTTGGAGAGCCGTATTAGTTTCTTTAGTAAAGTAGTCTAAATTTTCTTCACTGGACTGAACTGAGAATTGTGGAGCTTAGTTTGTGTCTAAGAATTTTGTCTTTGGGAAGAACCAACCTCTGTCTGAGAGATCAGTTATGTCTGAAATGCACTGATTTTGTTTTTGAAGAAAATCTTTCTGGGTTTTTTCAGATGTTCCAAAAATGCAATGGAATCCTTTGTGTTTTTTTTTTTTCCTTTTATAATGGCACCAACAATCCCCTGTTAGGAGAGTCCAATCTGCACATGAGATTTACATCTGCAGAATAACAGCCTTCAGATGAAGATCAAAAAAATTTCAACTGCCAAAAAATTAGGTTTAGTTGTTTTTTTGTTTTGCTTTAAACTTTTAAAATAACCTTGTCCTGGATGATGGCGAATCTTTAACAGGGTTTAAATGTTTACCCCTCTAATGTGTGAATTCTTTTTCAAAATGTTCTCTGCCTTTAAAACCTTTTCAGAATTAGATGCACAAGCATTATTGTCACAAACACTAAGTGGAGCATTTTACAGGAAAGAAATATTAACGTATCTCAAATTTCATCTAGATTTATTAAAAATAAAAGACCTGATAATAACTTGACTTTGATTAGGTCATTATGACATGCATTTGTTTGGATCAAAACCATCTCATATGTTTACAGTTGTCCTGCTTAAAGGCGAATCTTCACCCCAGTCTTATTTTTTATTTTTTGGAGCCTCTTTTAGGTTTAGTTTATGGTTTGCCTTGAATTAAGATCCATCTATCTCCACATAATCCAATGAATAGCTTTGTTGTACCTGCTAGAGAAAACAATCTACACAGCATGGTTCTGCCATTACCATGATACACTATGTTTAGGGACAGTGTTGAGAGTAATAATGTTACCTAAAAAATGAAATTTGTAACTTTGCTTGTTAGTCATTGAAAACAAACCAATTACTTTTCACACAGTAGTATAGACAGTGCGATACCTGCAATCTAAAGCAGCGTGTTACTACAACTTGATCAATCAAAGCAACTATGAGCGGCAGATTTTTGCTGAGGGTCAAGTAAAGCTGATATAGTGACATACAAAGTGCTGATTAGCTGAGAAGCCGTAATGTGGGCGGGTGTTCACCCTACCTTGAACACAGGCTGAGAGGAGAGAAGATGGCACAGAGCCAATGAGCGTCCCTAAAAGTAAATCTAGAATCAAAAGCTAAACGTTCCTGCGATTTGCTCATTATGTGCCAGAAAAAAGACTTTGTACATCTGTTAGAAGCACCTCTGATCTAAAGAAGCACCTAACATTGCCACATGTTGATCTCTGGTATACTGAGTTCCCTTGCATGGTTTGCTGCTTTTTTCCCCCCAGAAATGCTGTAAATCTGCAGTTATGCTGGGTGTTTTTCTCCAGTGGTGTGACCCCTGTTTTATTCTACATGATCATATTGTAACTTACTTGTTCAGCCACATACACCACAAAGGTACAAATTAGTATATGTTTTCCAGATATGAAACCTTTTAAATTATTTATTTCAATAATTTATATCAAAAATCTTATATTTAATAATTTAAAAATTTGTATTGAAGTTCCAATATCAGGAAAGTTTTCCAAATTCTTCAACATCTTAGATTGTAAAAAGGAAATGCATTGTTATTTGACTAGTATTTAGTTACGTTGATTGTACATTCACTTACTCAACTAGCAGCTATAACTAGTTACTCTTTAAAGTGACATTCTCCTCACTGATGTGGACTGTCCATTCTGAAGGAGGGCCAATAAATGTAGATTTTTGTCCCCTCTATTCAAACCATTTTCTTTTAGGTCCTTGCTGTCTATTTAAATGGGTTTTGGGCAAACAGACTTTCTAATTGTTTTGTTTCTATTATTTAATTTAGGGGTGTCACAGGGGGCTAAGCGTAACTAGGGAACCCTCCTCTTTATTTTGTTTTATCAATTCAGCATACAGGTGTGCATTACTGTGTTATATGATATTAAATCCCTATAAAATACATTGAAACATGTGGAATTAAGGGCCAAAATCTAAGAAATGTATGAATATATAGGATAACCTGAATCCTTTTGAAATCACAAAATGTTTCATGAAAACCTTTGCATTCTAGGGAAAAGGACCTCCTCATACATCTTTAACCTATGTAGTGTTTTTCTCCTTTTCTTCTTTTTGCAATTTCTTTATAATACACTGCAGTTAATACCAAACAGGAAAAAAACTCTTTATTTTCCTCACAGTGAGTTGTTTAGCTTGAAACATACGGCATGGAGAAAGAAAGATATGGTTGGTGCCATCTTTTACCCTTCAAGTCAGTGTCTGGCCACTCAAACATGTGCATATAGCTGATAAGAAGGCCAGTTTCTCTCTCTCAAGAAACAGATTTTCATTCTTCATCTTTTTCCTTTTTTCCATTTGCAGAGAGAGGAAATTTCTCTTTGTAGCTTGTTGGTGTAGCACTGGAAAGCTGTCCTATGCTACAACCCCCTTTAAATCAGCTACATCATGGCCATGATGTGAAGGTCTACTTTTCACTGTTGGCCCCAAGAAAAGAAATTAATCAACAAAAGGCAGGATAGGGGCAAAAGAAAGGAAACGTTGAAAAATGGTGCAAAATGTACAAGAAATATAATGCATAGATCAGTATGTGCTATATCAGTCAGCGGTTATACTTTTTTTGTCAGCATATGTACATTCAAATGAACTGGCAACACTCCAAGAAAGCAAAAACTGTGCAGTTTGCTTCACTTGGCTCTTTTACAGCACAATGATTCAACCATAAAAGGTCTGATGAACTGACTGGGTGCACCAACTGGTTCCAGCCAAGAGCTGATATTTTAAAGCTCATTCTTTTTGAGTCTTAGGTTGAGAGTGCTGTCACCATGCTTTAAGAGGAGCTCTGTGATTCTCTGTTCATGCCATCATCCTTAGAAGAGGTTTTTAATTCCAGTCAGGAGTATAAAAATGATATATGACATGCATAACAAGTTACCATTTCAGCAGAACTGCAGGGTTCTACTATAAAGTTTGAGAGATGTTTGGATGCTTTGTTTTCCTCTCTGCATGTTCTACCTGGAGTTACTCGTCTCTGCCAGTCTGTTGTTCATGATACCAAGGGCCCCCACGCCCCCAGAGAAGCCATTATGGCGAGAGCTGCCACAGACCGTCCTGGGATATCCGTTGGCAGACTCAGACAGCTGCTTCTGCATGAGAGCAAGGGACACCTTGTTTGAAGCCGCCAGGTCCTTCATGGAGATCATTTCCCCTGATAGCCTCCGTCCTTCGGTATCACTATCACATGGACCGTCTGAGTCAGGCTGATGACTGAACCGACTCTGACGACCCCTGGAGCCTGGGCGGATGGCGTTTCGCCTACCCAGGAGGGCGTTTGCCTTACTGCAACGCTGACAAAACAAACAGCTCATTTTCTCCAGCATCCAGTTAAGCACCTGCTTGATAACAATAGAAATTACATTGAAGAGTGAGTAGATGCAACAGACGCCCATAAGCATTAGGAAGAAGTTGGCCACCCTATAGAGGCTTTGGTATTGGTAGGCAGCGCTCTGGCTGCTGACAAAGTCACCAAAGCCAATGGTGCTGAAGGTGACAAAGCAGAAGTAGAGTGAATCTAAGTAGGCCCAGCCCTCTACGGGGCTGTACATAGCCGACGCACAGCAGGAGATGGTTATGGCTGACAGTCCCAGAATCAGCATCACGTGGTACACGGATGGCTTCCATCCTGGGAGAGAGTAGGCTGAGAAGTCATGCCGGATTCCTGGTGGAAGGAGACCGCTGTTCCTGATTCTTCTTTCTCTCACAGCCTTCATTACCACAGCCAGGAGTGTTATGATGCGCTCCAGGAAGAGGTTAAAAAAGAGGATAGTTGCAGCGCAGCCCAGAAGCCCATAAAATATCAGGAACACTTTCCCAGCAATTGTCACAGGCGTTGTCATCCCAAACCCTGCAGGGACATAAAGACATTGCACAGTTATTCTCAAAGCTGAGACTCAAATATATGGAGAAGGCAGAGGTTAAAGAATGGCTGAGGTGAGAAAGAGTGTTCAAACATAGAATAACAAGTGTGCATTTATAAAGAAATGTATGAACTTTATACTAAAACATAAGTTACTGTATAATTCCACACATAGTTGACCTGTAGAAGAGCTTTGCAGGTACAGCAGATCCTTAAGTTTCCAAAATACTCTTCAGTAAGTTATAAAGTAATCGAAGTACATGTTTTTTAATCAGAAATGTTTATTTCTCTTATCCTGGATAATCATACCATAGAGCTGCAGAAAATCCAAAAATCTGTTTCTTAGAAAATTTGAATATTAAATAAGATCAATAAAAAAGGGTCGTTAGTACAGAAATGTTATGTTAAGGACATACTACTGCCTCAACAGTCATGAGGAGGATTTGGCAGTTGTCAAAAAGAGTTAGTGATACCCACCACAAGGAGCATAACCACAACACTGCAGCGCGTATCTCTACGGCTTAGTTCTGCATCCTGTTTTATTATAGAAAATGTCTGGAAAGTTGAACAGACAGAAAAATGCCTGGTGGAAAGAAAATGCACGACAAGCAGGGATAACTACGGCCTTGACAAGTATGAAGCCAAAGCTTTTCAAGAGATTAGGGGAGATTCACAGGGTGTGGAGTAATGCTGAAGTTGGTGCTTTAAGAGCCAGCACACCCAGACATGACCAGGACAGGAGGAAAAACAATTGTCTTCTGTGTGAATTTTTAACCTGAGACAACACTATAAGCTGAGGAGAAAAACCGGATTTGACTATTTATCTGTGGTCCATTTGTTGAAATGAGAAATTTCCTTTAATTACAAAATTAAAAGTCTGAATTAAGAGGGAGATAGATAAAATCCATTGGAGGTACAATATAAATTTCTGCTGTCACTTATGGTTTGGTGGGCCATGTCATCTGTTGGTTCATTGTGTTTTATTAAGTTCAAAGTGCAGCCATATTGGAGGAAAATATGAGGCCATTTCATACGGTAGTTCACTTTGATGACAAGATTTTTTGATAAATTGTTTTTGCTTTCAGTAGAATTTGGCTCCTGCCTTCACTGTTAAAAGCATAAATGCTTGATCGTCCAGGTTGGCTTGATACAGAATTTCAATGACCAGTCTGCCATTAATAAGCAGAATGACAACTAATCTGAGATGGATTGGAGGAATCCCTGTGATGGACTGGCGATCTGTCCAGGGTGTACCCCACCTCTCGCCTGTAGACAGCTGGAGATAGGCACCAGCATGCCTAACGACCCCGCTTGGGATAAGATGAATGGATGGATGGATTGGAGGAAATTTATTTTTTAACCAGATCATTTAATTTTTTCTTGATGTATAAATGATAAAACAGGGTCCTAAATCAAAGCCTTGGGATACCCCATATGGGAGCTTAATAAATATCCACCAGCTGTTCATACAGATCCTAAGGCTTCAAACAGAAGGCTCATTGTCTTTTTAAAGAAAAGTGATGCTATTCTTAATGAATTGTGTATATGCAATATGCTGAATGTACTGATAGATTTTTACCTCAAAAGAGGTAATTTCTTAGAATCTTCTATGCGGCTGTCACAGTTTAACCTGGGTGTTCCAGCTATGGAAGCGTCTTTAGAATTAACAGCAGATACTGTCTGCTCAGGAATTACTGTTAGTCTCCTGGCATGTCAGGTTTAATGTGATGCTAAGCCTAGAGCATCATCTCCAATATATAACTGTTACAATGATAATGTAGAAAACAACTAACTAATAAAAACAGCTTTTATTAGTTAGATTATTATTACACTAGGGCTGCTCAGTGGCGCAGTGGGTAGCACTGTTGCCTTGCAGCAAGAAGGTTCCAGGTTTGGGGTCTTTCTGCATGGAGTTTGAATGTTCTCCCTGAGCATGTGTGGGTTCTCTCCGGGTACGCCAGCTTCCTCCCACAGTCCAAAAACATGACTGTTAGGTTAATTGACTTCTCTGATTTCTCCTTAGGTGTGAGTGTGTGCGTGAATGGGTGTTTGTCCTGTTTGTCTTTCTGTTGCGCTGCGATGAACTGGTGACCTGTCCAGGGTGTACCCCGCCTCCCACCCATAGACAGCTGGAGATAAGCTTGGGATAAGCATGATTGTTACACTAATTAGAAGAGTACTTTTTTTTAAAGAAATGAATATATGAATAAAAATGCTGCTGAAGTAAAAAAAGTCTTTCAAGGTCTACAGGATTCACAGTTTTGTTGCATAAAAGATATTAGCTATAAATTACCTACATGCAAAGCTTCCTCCACTATTATTAGCTTTCTTTATAAAAGTTGTGTAAAAGCCCTTTGAATGAATTAATTAAATTTTTTTTACAAAGCTTTTGATCTCAAGTATTCATGTAATACTTGTAATACTAGCCATCACATTTAATTTATTGTTCAGTTTAACAGTGCTTTCATTACTTTGCTACACATACTACTCAGGACATCTTATGCACCAACTCAGACACAGACATTCAAAGCGTTATGTCATGTGTCAACAAAACAACAGATGCTTTTTTTGTCAACAAATAAAAACGTGCTCAAATATCAACAAGTTCACTTTTAGGCCAAGGTTTATAGATTTTCCATTGTCATTTCAGTCTCCTCAGAGCATTAGGCCAGATCGTTTTCCTCTCTTTCTCCTCCAACCGCCCCTGTCCGGTAATAAATGGCATCAATAGTATGACAATACTTTCTTTATGATGGTCAAAATGGCTTTTTTGACCTTATCTCCGGCCGTGAAAACCACTCTCAAGAGCGTCTTCTGTTGACATGCCAGCTCATTTAGATCAATTCTGATTGATACAGATTGTTTTATAGACAGGAGGGAACACAGCCCCATCGTGTTCAGTGCCGGCGGATAAAAAAACAAACAAACAAAGTCTTGTGTATGTTGTCCACACTGAAATATCTGCCTTTATAATAGTGACATAGTTCACCAGCAGACATCAAGAAAACCCTCTGGGGCGCAGACAGGTGAAGGGCACCGATTACCCAAATTGAGCCCTTCAGTAAAATCCTACTTTAGTGTTCATAGTTAATTAATTAACAGCCCAAGACTCTTTAACCTGCCTGAATCAGTGGGAAAACAGATTACATCTTCTCTGGGCTCACTGAGACAGCCTTCCGCACCATCTCTCATTACCAAGTAAATTACCTAAGAGAGGAAAAGGCACCAGGCATCGATTCAGTGTAGCATTTCAGAGTCATTACTCCAGACCACTGTGTCAAGACACATTAGAGGATAGCAACCAATAATAGGAAGCAAAGCCTAAGCAAGTAAACACAGGCTTATTTGTTTACAAAGACTTCTTTATTTGTACAATAAAGCAATTCAATGAAGGCTACAAGTGAAGCCAGCGGGAGAAAGATGAAGGCGCTGACCTCGACAATCGAGTTGAAAAGAGTTATTTCATCCAGCAGAACTTGATAAGGCAGAAAATTATATGTGTGCTAATCCGATTCAGTCCGAGCTCTGGGAGAATATTTATTCATTAACATTAAATAAAGTATTCTCAACTCAACATGGAAAATTGCGCTATGCTTCAGTGGCTGCACACATAATTACACACTAGAGATTCAAGAAGGAGGAGAGTTATCTAGATGGCGCCATTTGTAACCATTAATTATAATATGACAGTTTTTTTAGCAAAGGTCGGCTCTAACGTTTTATCAGACTGGAGGTGGAAATTGAAGGATGGAGAAAAACACGTTGTGATTTCACATCCCTTCGAGCAATAGCAGTTTATAAACACATTTCACCTCTTTTCTCCAGGCCACATTCAAATGTCCTCTTAGAATGATAGTTCAACTCAGAACAGTTTCTCAGTCCTGCAGGTTGCAAGTGTGAACTCTTCAAAATACGAAAAGCACAGGACATGCAAGATCGAAGTCATCAATTTTTTTCTCCTATAGCAGTGATAATCTTAATACATTAAAGAATTAAAAACATTAAAGACAAAAATTCTCTACTCAGAGTTGATTTGTTTTTTTCAGCAAACCATAACTAAACTAAAGTTTTAGCTCTTATTGCACATTTACAGAAAATTTGGTTTATACGTCCATTCTAGAAATATATTAATTTTTCCGAATAACAATATACACACCTCAACTCAAAATCAAATAATAACATTCAAACAGTTTACAAAAACAATCAAAAAGTCAATTATTGGAGATCCAGTAAAGTAAAGAGACAAAAAATACAATAAAAAGGAGACAAAAAATCTGACCTTTTCTTAGAGAGGAATTTGAAGGTGATGAATAATGAGTGTTCACAGAATTATTTGCTGAATAGAAGCTTAACTTTCTTAAAGTTCCATCAGCAAGGCAAGGCAACTTTATCTATATAGCACAATTCACTACAGGACAAGTCACTGCGCTTTACAAAAATTAATCTATAAAATAGAAGAAAAGTGTAAAAATATTAAAATCAGACTGTTAGTAAATAAAGATAAAGGAATAATAAAAGCAGGTAGTTAAACAAATAAAATAGTTCCACTGTCAAAGGCAGCTCTAGACAAATAGGTTTTTAAGGTTGACATAAACGATCTCAGGCTTTCAGCTCTTCTACAGACTTCTGGAAGTTAGTTCTAGATAAGTGGCAAACAGGTACTAAATGCTGCTTCTCCAGGTTTGGTTCTAATTCTGGGTGTACAGAATTAGGCTTGAACTAGAAGACCTGAATGGTCTAGGAGGTTGATACACTGACAACAAATCTGTTATGTAATGAGGTGCTGATCCCTTCAGTGATTTATGGACAAACAGAAGGATTTTAAAGTCTATTCTCTGAGCTACAGGGAGACAGTGGAAGGGCTTCAAACTGGGCTGATATTCTCTACTTCCTTAGTTCTAGTAAGAACACAGGCAGCAGTGTGTTGGATCAATTGCAACTGTCTGATGGACTTTTTAGGCAAACCTGTAAAGATACTGTTGCAGTAA